TCACAACGTAGAATTCTCTTTCTGTGTTGCGAAGAAAAGGCACTGAACACCTTTTGTAGAGAACACCTTTCTGCGTAGGCGGCCTGCGGCCGCACTTAGGGATTATAACCATCACAACGTAGAATTCTCTTTCTGTGTTGCGAAGAAAAGGCACTGAACACCTTTCTGCGTAGGCGGCCTGCGGCCGCACTCATGAACCAAAAAGACAAGAACACGCTGGCAGGAGAGTAGCCCGTTAGAATCGCATTTAGGAAAAAAGTTTAACGATTTTGACATTAGCCGTTTGTTTACATTTCTTCGTTGTTTACAATTTGGTGGTGGCTTTTTACTGCAATTTTCTTCATTTTCGCCCGTGACAACGTGTGTACACATAAGATAAAGAATAATTTAACACAACGGCATGATTTATAGAAGAATTTGCATAATAAAAATGATTATTCATGCGTTCAACAATTTCGCGGTTTTCTCCGTTCTCTTCGTTGTTTACTTCTTACAACAAAGATGGCGTCGAGATTTCGGCGGCTAGAAAATAACTTTTTTCTTTCTTTCCTTCCCGCGTGATCTTGTGTCTTTCGTTCATGGGCCGCACTTAGGGTTTGTAAGCTTTTTTTTTATAATTATTTTACATTAATTCAAATTTTGTAAGAACTATACAACATATATATAAAGTACGTATAGCAAATTCAAGGGAATCAAATTTGCTATTAAATGAGATCAAATCCATTCATTCGTTTTTGAGAAATCTTGATTTCAAAAATTGCTTATTTTGAACTTTAACCTTTGATAATTCTTGTTGTTGTTGTTTGCCCAAAAAAAGAAGTATACCGTTATACTCAGCTCAATCATCTCTATCGATTCCAATATTTTTTTTTTTAATTTGAGATTTGGAGCCCAACAGCATTTGTGCCCAGCAAATTTATCAGAATCCATAATTTTTTTCAAAATATTTAAAATCAATCAATTTTACTATAAACAAGCACATGGTGATGTGTTTTCAATTTTTCCACTTTGTTTTCCTTCATACAGCGGAGTTCGAAAAACAACTGATACCTGGCAATGCTGCAAATTTTTCCGCAAGGGTTGCAGCATGTCGAATATGCGTTTTTCGTAACGTAGCTACGAATTACGAATTACGAAAATTCAGGTTCTAGAATAAGGGGGCTAGTTTCCGCTCCGCACTGCGGACGAGCTTCCGATCCACGCTCGTAACGTCTCTCATATGCTAGTTTCTTGTTAGAATGGAGTGGCGCAATGGCAGTCTTATACAGGGTGTCCCAGAAGTAACCTGCCAAACTTGAGGAGAAGGCAGGTAGGGTGGTGAGCTCCTGATAAGCCAAAATTTTTCTGGTGTCACCGTTTTTGAAATATTATAATTTTTTTCGAATTAAAAAAAATCGTGCTTTTTCATGTATTTTCTTTAACTGCATCTACAAACAAGGCTATACTTAGTAAATTTTTTATGTAAAATACTTTCAGATAGTTGCTTCTCCATACTCAAATGCAATGCTGTTAAAATATATTAAGGAACCATTATAAAATTAGGACTATATTGGGATTTTTAACTTTTTGATATTTTCTTCACCAACTTTGACTATCTCTGGTGGAAAAAAAATGTACTGAGCNGTTATCAAACGAATACTTTGCCGTAGAGGGGACGCCATTTGGTCACCGAGATCATCCGACTGGCCACCGTTGGACTTTTTATGACGCTACTCGGATGGCCGTATTTATACGAATAAACCTCAAACTTCCCAGCTTTTGAAAATCAACATTTGTCCATTTATGTCCAAGATATCGCCAAATATACCAAATACACATATGTCAACAATTGATAGAAAAAGTCCTGAAAGCTTTAAAGTCACAAAACTAAACACCCCTATGCTGTAATCCGTCGTAGATTCGATTTTGCTACGAATCTTAAAATTGGTATGCTGTAATCCGCGTTGCCGTATCGTAATTTCGAAATTCGGAGACCATCTTCGGAATTCGTAACGTAACGTGAATCCGACGTAGCTGTAATTTGTATGTATTTGTCGGAAATTTTCTACGAAGAGCAACTGGTGTCGGAGCGAAGCGAATTCTTTTAAAATATCAATAAAATAAAGTGTGTAAAGGAAAAAATATGTAAGTNAAAAAAAAGTTATAGCCGCTTTTGTGGGTAAAGGACTTAGACACGCTAGAATATATTTAACAGATTTAAATTTAAGTTGGTGTTGTTACCGACCAATAACATGCTAAATAGTACAAAGGTACATTATTAAATGCTCCTGACATTATTTTATGTTACTTACCGGAAATTGGACCCTTCGAACATTGTGTTATTAATACGTCGCATGAATATGCGTATATTCACCTAATTTACGGTGAAGCTTGCTGTAATGCCAGAGCTGCTCAAAGACTCTATGCAGAGCGATACCCAAATCGTCGGCATCCGGGTCGTGAAGTATTCGCCCGGACCCATAGAGAAATATATGAAGGTAAGTGATTTTTACACCTTTCTTGTTTGCTTGCTTGTTAACTATCATTTTTCACTTTTTTTAAGTCGTGGCGGCGAAACAGGACGTCCTGCATACAACTTTTTTCCATTCGAAATAATAAGAGAGGCACCTTTCTGAAATATTTATTAAATGAGCAATTTTTTTATGTAATGTAAAGTTATAGCTCAGTACATTTTTTTTCACCAGAGATAGTCAAAGTTGGGGAAGAAAATATCAAAAAGTTAAAAATCCCAATATAGTCATAATTTTATAATGGCTCCTTAATATATTTTAACATTGCATTTGAGTATGGAGAAGCAACTATCTGAAAGTATTTTACATAAAAAATTTACTAAGTATAGCCTTGTTTGTAGATGCAGTTAAAGAAAATACATGAAAAGGTACGATTTTTTTTTAATTCGAAAAAATTTAAATATTTCAAAAACGGTGACACTTTTACCTGAAAAATGTTTGCTTATCAGGGAGCTCACCACCCCACCTGCCATCTCCTCAAGTTTGGCAGGTTACTTCTGGGACACCCAGTATGTGTTTATTGCATGCTCGTATAATAAACTTTTGAATTTTTGTAAGCTACTGCAGCTTGTCATATCTATGGGCAGCTCGTTATACATTTTTAGCCCTCCTTTATCTTAATTAATGGTCATTACTTACTGTATGCCATTGGTCTACTGACTTAACTGCTCCTCCAATGGCGTTTAGTTTACCGGCCATTTCCACCCACTTTTTCTGCGACTGCATCTTTCCATGGAGCTGCTGGAACTTTCCGCTGGATATACCCGGGTTTTCCACAAAAAAGTCAATCATGGCAGTGAGCTGCTCTGGTGATGCCCGGCTCCTTTTGGGTTGGCTTTCCATTAAATCGGTTTTTGGCTATTTCCACAAAATTATCACGAATTTCGTCGTGAAACTTGACGGAGGTGTTAAGAATCGTATATATTTACATTATTTATCACTCTTTTCACTTTATTAGTAATAGTATTTAACTAATTCGTTGGTAAATTCTTTGCAGTTTCACTAGCGAAGTTTCATATGAAAAAGAGCACTTAACACATATTTTTATAAATATATGATCATTGCAATGTTCACGTGTATTTTGTGTACATTAAATGTATTTTATTTTATTTTTTAACAATATACAACGCGTTTAATAATTTCACTCTCAGTATATCCAGTAAAAAAACTGTGGTGAAGTCCTTTATGGGGATAAAGTTTCCAGAGGTGAAATTTTAGGTAGCACACAATTTCTTACATGCATGGTTGCTTTTCAGCACTCATGAAAGAAACTTAAGAAATATTTGAAAAAAAAGTTCATATAGTACATTAATTTTGGAAAGAAATACCATATAATGTATGTACTCTGGTTAATAATATCAAAAAATGTATTAGAACCACCGGTTAATGTTATATTTGATACAAATTAATATTGCTGCCCCGAACGCTCTGCGCCTTGCCACTGAATACTAGTTTACTTAAAATTACATCCCTGGTCCTTGTTCTTTCTGTATCGCATCGTGGTGAATTCACATTTCTCAGAAATTTGACAACAAAACAAAACAAAGCGAGTATTTTATTTGCTAATTTTTGCGATTTCTATTGTTTAATGTAAATTTAT